GGGCGCCGGGTGGAGCCCCTCACAGTCCCAGGAGGCTGGCGCTTAAGGGGGAGCCTAACTCCCTCTCCCTGGACCCCTGGGGCGGGGGTTGTATGGTGAGGAGAGAACTCCAACCTTTGTGGTGAACCTGCCGGGATGCGGGAGGAGGAGGGGTCCGCCCACCCGGGGAACCGACTCTGCGCGGCGAATCTCTCTAGGCTTTGGGGCCCACGCTTGTTCCACCTCCCACCCCTTTCCCGCAGACCCCGATCCCGGCCCGGACGGGAGGCTCTTGGAGGTGGGTTCTCCACCCCGCCCCAGCACCCTCCTATCAGCGCCCTCCGTTTGGTGCGGGACGCTCTTTCCTGCCCTTTCTGCACGGGAAGCCTCAAGCCCTGAGACGTAAAAGCCCTCCGAACCCCGCGCTTGCGAACCTTTGATCCATACCGCGATCTCCGGGTGGTGTCGGTTACTCCAGTGCGGCTGGCAGATCCTCTGAGCCTCGCAGCGCCGCAGCGCAACGCTCTCTCTCCAGCCGCCGCTCAGCTCGTTCTGCCACGGGTCTGGCGACGAGGTTACGGCGCCTGGAGTTTAGGAAAGTCGCCAGTCGGCGTGTGCAGCGTGTACTACACGAAGTTTGGGAGTGGCGGGGGGCCGCCCGCTAGTGGTTGAGCCTGGGAAGGGGTCAGGGAGTCAGGGGATGGTCTCCCTAGCCGAAGCCAAGCGTGTCCCAGAGCGCTTGGGCTTGCTGGATTCGGGCACCTAGGCAGCCCCGGGATAGGGAGGTGAGTGGGCCTCGGCTGGCCCCTCGGCAGCCCCGCGCCAGGCTGCCACAGTTTTCACCTCGGCATCTCCGGGCTGCAGGGTCGGCATGAACCACCTGGGCCGCAGATAAAGACACAACCCGGACCAAGTTCAGGGCATTCAAAAACGGTTACATGCAGAAGATTTGAGTGGTTTGGGGGTTAGGGATACGGATGACTGCATTTATCTTTCCATCAGTTATTAAACCAACTATACATTTTCTTGCTCACAAAACGGTTTGAGTTGAACCACAGCTGCTGCTGGTTCGTCAGTTGAGACTACCAGTTAGTGAAGCTTTCCTCTCTTTCCTCCAAATATTTACTGGTTATTTCAAGATAAAAAATGGAAAAGCAGGAAGATTGATCACTTTGAACCCGCATCACCCCCCACCACGACCACCACCAGTGACCTGAGGGCTGGACCCTTAGTTTACTTTCTCTCTGATCAAGGATATGAGCAAAAGAAGGAGGAAGAAAAATACCCAGAGAGGTTAGATAGATGGCACTGAGTGAGAATATTTTCCAGAGGCTTACTGTGTACTGAACCTTTGTCTTAATTTACAACCAGTTAGAAATCACACTTTTAGTTGGATTCAAAGGATTGAACTTTGTGTATTTTTTCCAAGTTTGCTTGGAAAAGATGTGTTCTTTCTCAGGCCTTTCTTAGAATTGTGTGCAAATCTGTGTAGAATTATTACATTTTCTTAAAAGAAAAAACATCTTTTGTTATTCCTATTAGATAATGGCGTGTGTGTTTCTTATGTCTGGCCTGATAAACTCAATACATGCCTAATAATGAGAGCTGGGCTTGGTGGCACGTGTCTGTAATCCCAGCACAGGAGAGGCTGAGCCAAGAGGATTGAAAGTTGGGGCCAACCTGGGCTACATAGTGAGTTCAAGGCCAGTCTAGACTAAATAGTGAGACCCTGTCTCAAACAAACAAAGGAGTGAATGGAGTATTTATAAAGCATCTACAAATTGCTGAGTATTGGTCTAACTGCTTTGTAAATATTAAGTAATTTAGTCCTTATCAAGGTATAGGAAGTAGGAATTACTCCCGAGGCACAGAGAAGCTAAATATCCTGTTTTAAGGACACACAGCCAGCTAGTGGTGAAGCCATTCAAACCCAGCATGCTCATCTGAAGTCCTGTTTCACTAGCTTTTACCAGGAAATATTCTGTGTCACGAAAGTCTCACCCTGAATCTCTGTCAGATTGAGAGCTCAGGTAGTTTCGTCAGTTTGAAAGTCTAAAACTAGGTGGTTTACAGTGAATCCAAAAATCCACCTCTGACCCCATAAGTGAGTCAGTGTTGGGAAAGGACTCACTCTTGGGACTATAGGGTGGACTTCACCCTGTACTGGTTACAGAGTAGTAGGGACAGTGTGCGTGTGAGAGAGAACTAGAGTGTGCGTGTGTGCATGCACGCCAGTGAGGGGGAAATGATGCGTGTGCATGTTCACAGGTAAGGAGGTGACAGGCGAAATACAGGGAAGGGGCAGGGAATCCAGCATCTCTGAATTACTCTCCACCAACTGCTGTTCCCTGGTTACCCAAGGGAGAAACCTATGTTCTCGTGACTGTGACCTTGAAGGGCGGAGAAGGCCGGGTCTAAGTGGGTTCTTAACAGAGCTCGTTCTGAGGGAGCTGGTTTTATTGCCATGTTATTATCATAAAAGCAATTTATCAGCATTGGGCAAAGTTTGGACATCCGAGAGGGAAATTATTTTGATCCCACTCTCCTAATACACTGCTGTTGCCATTTTAGAAATAATCCACACAAGCCTTTTTCTTGAGCACAGGTCTGGGCAGCCCTCTCACTGCTGTGTCACAACCTAAGTCTGTGCCATGTTGTTCCCATGCCTTCTGAGGGAGAGTGTCCCAGCCTGTGCAGTGCCCAGGAGTAGATTTTGTCATCCCCGATGGGGCACATTTGGGTCATTTCCAAGTTGCTTCTTTGCTAAAATGATGTGGGGCCAATTTTTTGAGGAGGCATAAGGAGGGCAAAAAAGTGAGCCAAGGCAGGGCGATGGGCTATGGTGAGGTGGGATGACTGGTCTGGCCAGCCATTTGGAATTTTTGTTTTCAGTACTGGAGATTGAACCCAGGGCCTTCAAACTGAGTTACAATTTCCAGTCCTTTTTTATTTTTTACTTTTAAGACAGTCTCACTAAGTCACTACATTGCCCAAGCTGGGTTCGAACTTGCGATCCTTCTCTCTCAGCCCCGTGGAGTTCTAGGATTACAGTTGTATGCCACCACGCCAGGCTCAGCCACTTAGATTTAATATAGCCAGCCCTAGGAGGGACGTGACTTAGGTCAGCTCTGTTTTCAAGGAGGATGTAGATTATGGAAAAGCAGGACGCTGACTGTGAGTCCGTGATGATGAGCTTAAGTGAAAAATCCATTTCATATCCTCCACATTTAGCTCCTTGGAGAGCAGCAGCAGCCAGCTGAGTTCTGCCCCACAGAAGGAGTCTGAGGGTCCAAAGTGCCCTTTGAAGTACACCAAGAGCCCATGATTCCTTTCAAACCCAGGGACCTGAGATCTGCCTGAGGTGTGGCCTAGAAGAGTTGAATGGGGAGGTAGGTATGGGCTGATAAGTTCAGCTGCTAGAGAAATAGAAAATCCATCCGTCAGGGAGTCAGCAAACATGACTTTGGTCTCAGCTGTGCCTCCAACTGGCTTTATGACTTCTACCAGATCACCTTCCCTCTGTGCACTGCAGTTTCTGTGTCTATGAACAGGGGTGTTATACTAGACTCCCTGTTATCTTTCAAGTCACTGTGAAAGGGCTGTGTTTCCAAACAGACTGTGGGGCTCTAATCTTATGTAGTAAGAGCAGGGTGCCACCGATTCCATCCCCCGATGAAGGACCTTAGTACACAGTACCAGGACCTAAATCCTCTTCCCTGGTCCTCAGTCTCCCTAGCTGTCTTTCCCCTTACAAGCACTGGGCCTTACACATGTCTGTGGACTGCTTCATCTGTTCAGTAATTGTACAATTGGAGCGAGCCTGCTGCTGTTCCCGTGGGACGAAGATGTGATGTCAAAACAGAGAAGGCCTCGAGATGCCTAAACCGTCCTAGCAGAAGAGCCAGCGCAGGTGCTGAAAAGATGAGAACTCCCCCTTAAGCCCACTGTGGTTAAAAAGGAAAAGAGAAAGCAGCCAACAGCCAGTGCAGCACTCCAGGGATTTGAAGACTGTGGAAAGTGGAGGCGCAGCACTGAAATTCCAGCTCCTCCACTGTGGCTGGGGAAGGACAGGGTGGCCACCATGGTCTGGGACTTTTTCTATTTCCTCCTCAGGGGTGGTAGGGCTGGGCCATGTCTCCCAGCTCTGTTTCCACCCTGGCCATCCACGGTTACAAAGAAGCAAAGTTGGGCCCATTTGGGAAGTCAAGCCAGACAGAGGTTTTAGCTGCACTTTTATAGTCAAAGAATGAATTCAGTAATTATAAATGATTCCTGTCTACTTAGATTCTTAGAAGTCTCTGTCAACATTGTCCCTTGCAGGTAATACCACTGAGCCTTTATAAAATGTTTGTCTTCAGACTTGTTCCTCTTGGGCCAGCCATCTCCCATTTCACCCAACGTGGTATTCAGCGACCCAGTGTGGCAGTCAGTACTGTCATGTGCTGGTGGGAACCACAGGTAAAGCAGATGTAGGCTTGAATCGCGATTCTGCTCTGAAGCACTGAGCAACTTAGGTAATCATTCGGAGCCTCAGTTTCTTCTTCAGCCAAAAGAGGGGATAAATCATGACTTCATGAGTTGTTGAGTGTGAAATTAAGCACACTCACACGGCAGCACATCATAATTGCTTAATAAGTATTAGCTATAGGAGTCACTTAATAAATCTTATCTATTTTCTCAGTCTAAAAAAGACCATCAAAAGGAATGATGCAGAGCTGGGGGTGGAGGAAGGGTTGTGACTAATATAGGATTGCCTGATCCCAGAAAGCTTTTCTGTCTCAAAGGAGAGAGGGCAGAAGTGCCTACTTCGGCCTCCTGGACATGTCTGACATGTGAAAACATTCATCAGTGAAAGTAGAGACCTGTAGGGAGGATAATACAAAATTACTAACTCGCTGATGCGATCAGTTATTTTGAAAACAACTTACTGGAGTCTATTAGGCAACAGACGATTAACCACTTATTTTCAGAGTAAATGACGTCTGTTTCAACACTGTCAGGCATCCAGGGAGAAAGAGTGGAAAGGAGCTCTTGTGAATATGGACAAGCTCTTCCTTTTCCATGAAATGGGCGATGTGTGGATTTTGGTCTGGAAGACAGGTCCCTGGACCACTAATTCAAACGCTTTAGTTAAATGTGTCCTTTGGCAGCTGTCTACCCAGCAGCGATACAACGGTTTGGGAGACAAATGAAGATGTTTATGGATGCTCTTTCTGTCCTATCAACACAGGTATTTCACACCCCAGCCCTGCTGGGCCCAGGGAGCAGTCTCCGAAGGTGCCAAGAGGTAGAGTTTGTGAAGTGTGCACCACCAGGCCCCTAACCTGTCAACCAGGTTCCAGGAGGTCTGGTCTGAGCAGGTGAGCCTAGGTCAGAGCCCAGAAGAGAAACTGACCAGACAAGTTCAGCTGCTTTGTGGCTGAAGATCCCAGAAAGGGGCACTATCCTAGGCTGGCTGATGGTTCTGAGTCTACCCTCCAGACTGGTAAGAGGAGTAGAGGCTCTCAGGAGACACAGAGAGAACCTTTAAGTGCTGGGAGGTCAGAAGCTTTAGGAGAATGGGGACAGCTTACTGGTCAGTGTCTCTGGCAGATACATAGAGCCAAAGAACTGGAAGGTAGCCTGCCCAAAGGAGAAGGTCTAGGAGGAGAGAGAGCTGTAGCAGTGCCACCCATGGGGGGCATTTTCTTATCTTTTTATCCTTCCCTATTTCTTCAGCCTTCTCAGCAGGGTGTTTGAAGGTCTCAGTGGGCTCCAGAAGGCCCTTCCTAGCTCAGTGGAACCCAGAGGAGCCAGCCATTCCCAGAGTAGCTCCTCCTATTGTGGGGACGTAGCTAGGTGGGCAGCTTGTGACAGGCAGAGATGAGAGAGGGACTGAGGCCTGGGAATGCCACCTGAGCTGTGCAGGCTGCACGAGAAAGGCTGGGGTTTGGTTGCTTTGGCAGGGGCTAAGGGAAAGTCCAGAGCTCTCTAAGGAACCAGTCTCCCAGCATCAGGTTTCGGTGCCATCAAGGCCCAATGCCACTGGCAGAAGCAGCGATCCAGCCTGGTGCCTATGGACTGCTCAGAGAGGACAGTTTTATGATAGATGATGCAGGTCCAAAGACAGACTGACAGTGAGCAGGAAACTGCAGGTGACATAGAGAGATGTCTGGAACGTACTTCAGCTGTCAGAAGAGTCTCTAAGAGCAGGGCTGCTCAGAGGGCCCCTGTGTGGTGTGGAGGCTGCAGATCGAGGGCATGGAAGGGTCCCTCATCCCTCACTCCATCTCCACAACAGCACAGTTAAACCCATGAGCAGGTGGTCACCTGCAAGCCTGACATCGGGACAGAAGGACTGATGCCCAAAGGCGCAGCTGGGCACCCAGAGGCGATGGGGTCAGCACTGGGAGTGGGCAGCAGGCTGGATAGCCTCCATGTCCTGCCCTGGCCCTACAAACCTGCTGGGAGCCTTCGAAGCAGGGTGCTGTTTCATATGCCAAGACAGGCAGGGTGGGCTGCTTGGTGGAGGGAGCTGCTCACTGTCCTGCCTGGGCTTGGTCTCACACCTGCCTTTCCTCCTTGTGCCCATTCCCTTTGTGCCACCAGCTTCTCTTGCCCAGGTACACAATGGTTGACTCCATCGAGCCCTTCTGTTCCACTGTAGAGGTGGAAAACCAGACACTCCTGAATCTTGTCTCCTCACCTCTGCCCTCTGCCTGCACCGCACTGATCTCCTACACCAACACCTCCTACACCAACAGATACTCATTTATGCCTCCCCACATTTGGCCACACTCCCATCTCTGCCCCTCCCCATCTCTGCACCCTTCCTCCAGGTGGCCTTTCAGTCTAAGCCCATCCAACTTTGGAGTGCTTTTGCCTTCTCCTCGTCCTCTTCCCCTGAGCTCTCCAACAGCATAAGACCTTCAGCCCTTCAGTACACCTCCTCACAGGAGGCTCAAAACACTAACTAACAGAAGGACACCTGGCCACTTGCATCTAACTAAGCCCTCATTCCCACTATAGATTCTGAGTTCATCGTGGATCAGGAGGAGTCTTTTAAAAAATAAAAAATAGCATGCTCAGCACCCAATCCAGAACTATGCATATATTAGGTACACAACAGATTCTGGATTTAATGGAAGGCCTGCCTCTCCCTGTTCTACTCCCACTGAATGTCTATAAACACATAAGTGCTATGGTGACAGGAGCCATACAGATGACAAGCTAGACAGACAAGGTCCTCTCCTCTGCACATGGGTTGATGACCCATGCAAGGCTGTGCTGTAGGCACCACTGACAGATTCCAGCTCCAGCCTGGAGTCCGTCCCCTGACTCCGTGGCACTAGGAGCATTGGTCCACATGCCAGGGAGGGCACCAGTTCACTTTGAGGTGTTCTGGGTGGGGCTGGGGAGAAATCACCAGAGCAAGATTAGGATCCAGGCTGAGGAAACAAAGGGGCACGAAACTCAGAAGCTGAGGTCTTCAGGAAGCAAGTGCAGGGTGTGTTAGTCCCCAGGTGGGGACTGGGTTAAGGCCGTGATGGCAGCCTGGGTCTCCCTCCTTTTCACTGCCCTGGTTTTACCAGTTTCGGGGCAGGAGTACCTGGGCAAGGTAGAGGTGGCCCAGGGCACCAGCATTCCTGTCTTCTCCATGGTACCTTGTCCTTCAATCCACATTGAAGCCCTCCAGCTCTCTCTGGGTGGCGGTGGGACAGCCTTTGGGGTCCTTCCTCTCTGTGGTCAGACCCATGGCTTGACTGTGAATGCTGCTCTCAGGTTGTTAAACATGGGCCTCAGAAGTGGTGGGGCTCATGTGCACCCCCAAGGAGGAGTACTCTCCTTAAAACTGACAGGACTGGAGCTGACTCTGGCACTTTCTGATGGGTGACCTTTGGCAGGTTACACAACCTCTCTGGGCTTTTTTGTCCTCTTTACTGGACCAAAATGGAGAATAAAGAAAGGAATGCTTATGTGATGAGGGATCTGCCCCCACCCAAGCTTTTTCACGGGTGGGGTCCCTCCCACAGCTCTAATGCCACCGCACTCCTCCCCTGGACCCTAGCCGAGCAGCCGTCACTAACGTGCCCCTAGGAGCTAAGCCATTCCTGAGGATCCAGCATGGCACCCTCTCCTCCAGCTCATGCAGTCTTCTCAAACCAGCTGTGGGAGGATGGTGGGGATTTTCCAGCTCCAGGCAGACTGGCCTGTATCCTCCTGAACAGGCTGCCCTGCATGATTCACCTTGTAAGTCTGACAACATCCGAATTGGTCTAGACCCTGTCCAAGGAGATGAGCTTATTGACAACTTGCTTGGATGTCACAGCAAGGACAAATTCACCTCAGAGTCTCTAAATGCTTACTCTCAAGTTTTATGGACCAATAGCAAACAGTTTGCATGGGCAAACCAACCAGTCCGACCATCCCAGCTGCCCTCAATAGCGTCTAAAGCCTCTTTGGGGCCAAACTTCCTGACCTGGATTCCCCAGCTCACTCTGCATGCATCTGTCTCTCCTGCCTTGCCCTTCACCCCTGTGTGTCTCCATTGCAGGGACCTGAGCAATGCTGCAGCTCTTCCTAGCCACTGAGTCTGGGCTGATGGATGCAGGAAGAACTGAAGGCCCGGAAGGAAAACGCCTTTTGGTTTACTCAGAGTCCCAGCCTGGGGCAGCTTCCGGCGAGCCCTTCCCCCTCCTCCTCATTCATCACCCTGCACTTAATCACCAAGATGGGAGGAGGACTAATGATATGCATGGGTTGCAGGGTCCTAGAGAAGCAGCGGATGCCCTTCCTCTGTGGAGGCCTCACCCAAAGTCCCCGTGATTCAACCCCAGCCTGGTTCCACCCCTTGTCTTTCAGCTCACCCAAGACAGAGGAGCCCAACTTCTCCAGCATCCTGGACAGGCTCTGTCCCTTGCCTCTGAGGTGTTGACCCTGGGGCACTCTAGGGAGAGGCTGCCACGCCCTCTCCCCAGGGGAACACCAGCAGGCCAGCCTTCCTGACTTTGCCTGGCCTGCTGTATACGCCCCACACTGACCGGGCCGGACCAGGATAGCACTAGGGAAAAGACCTCCCATCTGCCCAGTGGGCCAGGAGGGGTCCTTCCCATCAGTCCCCTGCCCTCAGACTGAGGCCAAAGGTGGGAAATGACTGATGAAGTTCACACAGAGCGTTTGTCAGATACGGGGCAACTCAAGGCCTCTTCCTGTCTTGAAGGCTTCTCGCTCTGTTCTTTCCGTACCCCCCAGCCGTACCCCAGATGGACAGGCAGATGAGTGCCGTCAGCGCAGTGAGACTCGCCAGCCCAGTTTCCCAAGGCCAGCACCACTGACATTTGGGGCTGTCTTTATGTGGCGGCTGTTCTGCGCATTGTAGGATGGTGGGCACCATCCCTGGCCTCCACCCACGAAATTCCAGTAGATACCGAGAACATCTCCGATCATTTGTGCTCAGTGCTCCCTGGGGTGCAAAATGGCTCTCCAGTAGAAGACCACTGGGCCAGTTCAGTTTATCCTCAGTTCTGATGAGCATTAAAAATAGACTCCTGAGCTTTCCGTGGGCCTACTGAACCTACATCTCTAGGGTGGAGCCTGAGAAATGGAAAGTTTTTTCTCCTAGTTCAGATGCCAAGCATGGTCTGGAGTTGCCTAATTCACTTTTCCGCGCAAAGAAACAGAGGGTGAAGTGGTTATTTCTAACTTCTGCCCTAAATCTCTGTGCTTAGTGGGCTTTGGTCCAGAGACCCTTTGGGGTCCCCCTCCCGGCCTGGAGAGGAAGGGGCTTTCCAGGAAAAGCATCTGCAAACTCAAGCTTTTTCTGTCGGACAGAGCTGCTTCCAGCCTCTAATGATTTCCTCTTCCTTCCAGGCTCTCTTCAGTCCCTTTGACTGCTGCTCCTGCAAGGAGATCCTTCTAGCGCTGCACCCAAACAGTCCCCCACCCCCAATTAGTGCCCGCTGCTGAGCTGAGAGCCCAACTGATGGTGCCACCTATGTGGCTGGTGTCTCTAAGGCTGTCCTGACACCTCACTTCCGTTTTCTGACCGCTCCGTGGGGCTTCCTGGGAGGGGTCTGGGAGCCATTCACAGCTCAGAGCTGCGTAGCACCCAGGGACAGGATGTGAGACTGGGCCATGCTCCCTGCCTCCGTGAAAAACAAACAGCCCTTCTGAGTCCACCCAGCTGACGGTCCACTCTCAGGGAGCCAGGCTGCAGCCAGGAGCTAGAGGTCAAGAGGCACGAGAAACTCAGACCCAGCTGAGGTTTGACGGATCCAAGCTTATGAAGAAGAGGGTGGAGCAGGAGCGAAGAAAGAAGAGCCAGGGGTGGGAACCTGGCTCCAGTCCTGTTCCTCCGGTCACCATAGTAACCACGGTGGAC